AGAGAGCGATGGGCGCTTCAACGTCCCCTCTTTCTGGAAATAGACACCATTATGCCAGTAGATTGGTCCTGGAGCCTCAGTGAACATGTGATTGCAAAGCATGGCTGGTCTACTTTGGTGAGGGGGCTGTTGAGTGGCTGCTTCAGAACATCATGTACAGACACAGGTCCAAACACATCATCTCACACACACACACACACACACACACACCCCACCGTCCACCTCCACAGCAGGCTGCACAGACAGGCTGCATGAATATTTATCAGAGCAGTTTATAATGAGTTCACCGATTAGACCAGCATTTGTTTCATATTCTCACGTATTGCAGGTTTGGTGGCGATTCCAGTATCCAGCTGATTTCTCCTCTCATCAGTATACGGCGCAGTGACCCGCGCTGTGGCCCAGTCACTTCCCCAGGGCAAAAAGGTCTTGCCTTCTCGAAATGCTACCACGGACTGAACGTATTTTTAATATTGTCATGTGCCGTCCGCCGTTGAATCCATTTCAAATCAAAGACATCTCATCGCTAAAGATTAGGTTACTCACTAAGGTTCCATTTTTCTGCTGGCTTTCAGTTGAACAAAAAACACAAATGTCAGTTCTAAAAATGCATTAGGGAGAGCAAGCCACTGCTAGCACTGTTCACAACCTTTCAAACCAAATTCATCAACTACACACACACACACACTTTTCTACTGCCCACAAGCGCACAAACCGTTGTCGGCAGTAATGCCTCCTGTCCTGTGTGGATTTATTACTGTGAGAGCAGAATATGTTGTGATTGGAACAGAGTGCTGTTCAGTCACATATATTAAATACAAAACTTGAACAATATGGTGCCTGTTTGTTCACCTGTAAGGCCAGGCGAGGCGATTTTGGTTGACTTGAAAGGCAATTTTTCCTGATTGTGTGTGTATGCGTAGCTAATGTTTGTTTGACCTGTCCTCTAATAGTTGGTCTACATTTGACACATGCAGAGCCCCAGCGTGGACTCCCTGCTAGTTATAATTGTGTGATTTATAGCTGACAAAAAGAAAAAGAAATTGGAGAGAGGGGAGCCAATTACAGAGCTGTAATATCTGCGTCTTGCCTCATATCCCCTGCTCTGTCAACTTTCCTCTACAGTGATATGAGCCATGTTAGCCTTGACGTTCATTAATGACTATTACCCCGTTTATTGTCCATGTGGGCCCACTTAGTACCTGGTTTTGTTTGGCTGGGGTGGGTAACTACCTGAAACACTGTGTTCTTACCTAATTGGCCGATGCCTTGTTGCATCTATACAGTAACAGAGGGTGAAGCAGTCATAACCAGGTAATAAGGACGGAACAGAACAGTACAGAAATGTACTCTCCCTCATCCTGCTGTAATTAGTAAGAATATGGTTTCATATCCTTTAAAGTGTAAATAGACAACTTTGTTTGCTTTAACTTATAATTATGAAGTAAATGTTGATTGGCTATAGAATAACACATTTAGATTGGTTCCCTATAAGTGAGACTTGTATATAGACTCATGCTTTTTCTACTGTTTTCTTCACATTACCGTTACTCCTCCCTGACACAAAACCCTGCTGCAGTTACTTGTTTGTAATAATGTTGTTTGTTTCCACTTTAAGAGCGTTTCACTGGGTCTGTCAGTACTGTATGTGGTTTAAAAATTAGCCAATATCTTTTGAGATGTTTACCACATGGTCTTGCAGTCACTTGCAAGCAATAGACCTTTTTCACAGCAACCATTTTGACATGAAATTGTAGGGTAAACACAGGTGTTACCACTAATACCAATTTTTTTTTACCAAGAAAGATGAGCTGATGCTTTTTCTTTTTCTTATCTTAAATTGTTACTTATTTAGTCATTAATTACAGAGAGAGATACTTCAGATTTTAAACCAAGGCTTTAAAATGCCACCAGAAACCGAGGAAATATTTGCATTTGAAAATCTGGAACCAGTATTTTTATTTATTTATTTTGCTTTAAAAAATGATATAAATGATCATCATGATTAAAAGCATTGATTTAAATAGCCCTTTGATTTGAACCAATCGATTAACTGACTAATTGTTTCAGCTGTTCTATTCTTTTCTTTTGTATCTCGATAACACATACAGGTGTTGTTAAATACATCTGAATTATAGGAGTTTGTAAGGCTGTGTGATCAGTGAGAAGTACCCACAAACTCCTTTAAATACTTTGTAGAAATAAGCCGTTTTCCTGCATCTGAAGCATTTTTGTCCTTCCACTTTTTAATTTAATGTATACACACTGTCAAATATATGCAAACACACATTTTCCCCATGTTAAATATGTTACATTCAGAAAAGGTTCCCCATACAACAAGGTTTAGGAAAATCTGAAAAGCGGGGGGGTTGGACCTCAGGGGTGTTGGGCTGGTAGAGGCTATCTGCGGTCCACCAGTGTGTAACTGATATGGATGCTGTGTGCGCTGGTGTGGCTAATAGAGCAAATGGTGGGTGAGACGCGAGGGCTGGCTGACGGGGAAATGGGGTCATTTAGTGTCATAACCTCGCTCGTGTAATCTACAGTTTAATACACGCCCTTTGTGTTTCTTTATGAGACATGCTTTGACTCACTGTGGGACTTTTTAATGGCCTCATCTTTCTGAATGATCATTGTAGTTTCACAGTGCGTTTGCTAATATAATCTGTACCCTGTGTGTGTGTGTGTGTGGGGGGTGTATGTGAATTTGCGCGGCTGCAGGCTACTCTGTGTAACAGGGAGAAGGGGGTGTGTGTGTGTTTGCATAAAAAAGAGTGTATTTTCTATGTTTGTGTGTGTTTGTGTGTGTGTGAGAGTTCACATGTACTACGTGTCAGAGGTCTCTATGGTAATGTGTGTGTGTGTGTGTGTGTGTGTGAGAGGACTTGGTGTATAAAATAAAGCCATTTTAAGGACTTGCAGCAGAGTGAGTGGTACGGCGGACTACATCACTGCATTTACATGATCAATGCTTATTGCCAAATGTGTGTGTGTGCTGGTGTGAGTGTGTATCTCTGTGTCCATCAACTGTGTCTGTACGTGTGCGCATGTAGGCCTATTTTAATTGTTGCCATGGAAACAGAGTGCTGCCAGAGAAGTCCAGATTCAAAGAGGGCATCTCTCTCTCTCTCTCTCTTTCTGTCTCACTCAGTGACTTTTTCTCCTTCTCTTCTCTTCCATTCCTTTTTCTTGCCTTTCTCTGTCTTCTGTCGCTTCTTTCTTTCTCTCCCCTCGGCTTTCTTTTATCTTTCTTGCTTCTCACCAAGGTCCCCCCTTGGTTTACACTCTCTGTCTCTCTTGTTTCCTCCCACTCCCCCCCCCCTTCTCTGTCTCCTCGTGCCTCTTATCGTCCCTCCCTCATTCCTTCCCTCCCACCTCTCCATCCTTCCTGGAGAGTGGTGTGCAATTGACTATTAACACAGGGACCTGTAATTAGAGCTGACGAACCTCCAGCAATTAGTTTTCCCTAAAGAAGTTGTTCTGTCATCTCTGCATACATCTCTTTATCCCTCTCTCAATCTCCTTCGTGCTTTTTCTTCCTCTCTGTCATTTCCTGTCTTATTAGCTGTCAGCTTCACAGGGTGGTTATTGTTTTAGTGTTTTTGTTCTTCTTTGTACCTTCCATCTGCCTTGTTAAAGGCAGTCATGTATGAGATATACACACAATACACCACTCAGAACAAGTTTATGAGCAACTACACCCCCACTGTCCTGGGTATCTCTGCCCACAAAACCAAAGTGAACATCTATTCCCACCGACTGTACACCTACACCGACTATATGCTGAGAAATTCAAGAGGACACATGTCCTCCCACACACAAGGATGTAAACATACAGAGAACATACACATCTTCCTCAGAAAGCTTTGTTTTCATGTCTTCCTTTGTCTCCAGCTGCGTTGCCGTTGTCTCACCTTGCTACCGTCATCTCTTTTCTCCTCTCCTCCTCTTGTCATCTCTGGATCTTTCCCCTTTCCCTCTTTCTTTTTGTTTGTGTTTTCACAAGGCCCAAATGGCCCATCCTCCCCTCTGCATCCCCATTAATGAAAAGCTCTATAAATAAGCACAGAGGAGAGGGAGTCGGAGAGAGATACGGTCAAGTAGAACGTGTGAGGGAGGTGGAAGGATGGACAGATGGACAGGCAACGGCTGCGAGTGCTAAACTAGGCCAGTAGGGGTTGAGGGAGGAGGGCGGGTATCATATCAAACTCTTGCGAGTTGCTCCGAGCGCCTCTGCCGTCAATCACTTAATCAATTTCGGCGTCAGTCAGTTTGTCTGTGTCTCGGGTTGGTGTGTCACTCATCTCGCTCCAGACAGTTTGTCAGTCAGTCGGAGTTGGCGTGGAGAAGTCTTTTCCTCCATCTGCCCTTTCTCTTGTTTGCATTCCCTGTACGACTTACTTCCTCCTTCCCTCCTTCCTTCCCCCTGTTGCTCCCTCCCTCCCTCACTGCTCTCCTGTCGTCCCCTGTCAAGAAGCCAGCATCTCATCTGGAGGGAGAGTTTATATCCTCCATAATACATACCATAATGCTGTTTCAGAACATCGCACATGAATTATTGATCGGTGTGAGATTATACGTAAACTAAATGCCATCGTACCATGTATCTGTGTGTGTGTGTTTAATGTACTATTTATGTGTATCAAGTGTGACCTCTCCTCTGATCCCTCTTTAAGTCTTTAAAGCCTCATTTTCCACAAGCTTTCCCTCTCCTCCTTCATTCTCCCCCTTCAATGCCCCATTTCTGTGGACTGACATTGATATGCACTGATTCATATGATGCATGTTGCTTCTCGGCAATTCACTTTATTCAATCAATGTTGCATGGCGCTATGTTAACCTCTATATCGTTCTCTCCATCTCCCACCTCTCTCTTTTTCCCTTTATTTTCTCTGTTGTCATCTTGCTTTATCAAATCTCTGCCTCCCCCTCCTCCTTTTTCTTCTCTCTCTTTCCCCATCTCTTTTTGTTCCTCCCTTTCTCTATCTCTCCAGGTATTACTCTCCCACTCCTCCACCATGCCTGTCCGCGGCTGCCGCAGCTCCTCCCCGCCTCGCGGCCAAGCCGGGGCCTCTTCCCCTGCCCCCTCGATCACCCAGGAGCAAGAGAGGCGAGTCCGACCCCTACATCCACCCCCGCCCCCGTCACTCCACCGCCGCACCAGCGCCTCTCTCTGCCTCTCCCTCCTTCTCCTGCTGCTCTGCCTTCTCCACCTGCCCCCGGCCTGCCACTCACGGAGAGAGAAGGGCGGGGGAGGCGGTGGCGGCCACTACATCCCCATCCCCCAGCCCCCTCCCCACCACATGGCGCTGCCCAATATCCTGCGTGGCCTCAGCATCGCCGTTGTCCTTGTGGGCAACTCAAGCGAGATGGCACTGACTGGGGTTCGGGAGAAGGAGGACTTCCTTCACATGGCACCCAACGTGGAGGTGCTGACCATGAATGAGACGGACCCTAAAAGCATCATCAAGAGCATCTGTGACCTAATGACAGAGCACTGGCTGCAGGGTGTGGTGTTTGGGGATGACACCGACCAGGAGGCCATCGCCCAAATCCTTGACTTCATTTCCGCCCAGACCCACATCCCCATCCTCGGAGTCCGTGGGGGCTCCTCCATGATCATGGCTGCCAAGGTAGGACACTCAAAGTTTTTCTTGTGAAAAATTGCCCACATTTTCAAACCGTTCAGAGCATACATTTGCAGTAATTGTGCGAAGAAGAATGTGTGGGTGGTTTGAGTGTTAAAATGTAAAGTCGGCCTCACCTTGGAAACAGTGAATGGAAAGTGTTGTGTGGTCAGCACTGGTTAATGTAGAGTCCTGCACTGCCGCACTGCACAAAATGTTTAATTTGACAGTTGTAACAATAAATAACGGATTTGGATTTCTTTCCGACTGGCTGCTGTCAATCATGGCTGTATTTACTATAGTCCCACCTGTGAAATCTTGTCTTGTCTAGATTACATCACCATTCAGAGTATTTTTAATCAACAAAAGAAAGAAGTAAAGACCTGGCTACACAGCTTAAACAACTAGAAGTTTTGCTGTGCATTTTTCTAAATTATAGCAGTGTTTTGGCCTAAGGATGTACTGGTCTCACAGTCCCTGGTTAGATTCAGCAGGGCCTCTGCTTGGTGCAGACAACGTTGTTTAGAAGTGCCCTGCATAACTGGAACCTTTTTGCTACTTTATTGTCCTCTTAATATCAAGTTTGCCCCAAACAGTGACACAGTTTTGACTGGTTTGTATTTCTCATCTCATCCCTGACTGCCATACTGCATCAGTACTAACTCTGGGTGCAGACAGACAGACAGACAGACAGACAGGCGGGGTAAGCCGGGGTGTCTGACTTGAAAGACACACTGCCAACAGTGCTGATGCCAGTGACAGGATCAGCTGGAGATTGCACCAGAACAGAGAGCTAGATCTCTGCCTATTTACTAGGCCTTGCCTAATGGGATAAAGCAATCTGCTGCTGCTTTATCTGTGTCCGCCTGGGATCTGGGCTTGGACCCCATTCCACAAAATCAGCTCATTCATTTGGTACTTTGTGCATAAATCCGCCTGAATTAAATAATAACCAGTTAAGGAAAAACGAAATTCAACGTGGCTTCAATGCTGGGAAAGTTAAACCTCTATTAAAACACTGACAACATTTGCTTCTGCTGTCGAGAACTTGCTCGGCGCTGTTTGGTTCACTGTTTGACTGCTGACCCTCTGGTGTCAACAGGTCTTTGTACCAGCAGAGACATGAGTCGCAGTGACGTGGCAGGGCCAGCGGCCACCACTGAAACTCTTCTCTCTGTTCCTTCTCATTAGAGCTCTAAGGAGAGAGATGGCAGGGAACCGTCCACTCCCATTTAAAACTGCACTCCTTCAAGCACACATTCAAAAACTGCTATAGAGTACACACATTTTCTCCCAGCACAATGCTCATACATATACCTACCTCATACATGCTCCTCAACTGAAAGCTCCCATGCGTCTTTAACCCCCAGCCCCAGAAACCATGTGTCCTCCATACATATAAATCTTTTAGAACTTCCCTCCAGGTGCATGGATGCTATGTGAAAATGTATGTCTGTGTCTTATTTCAAGGAAAGATGCTGGGATGTGGGGGGAGAAGGGAAACAGTTGGGGGATAGTTAAGGAATGCATGGGCCTGTGTGTTTTGTGTGTGTTTGTGTGTGTGCGGGGACAGTATCATTCATTAAGTACACGTGGCCTAAGTGCACCAAGCACCAGGAAAGAGTAGTGTTTTGTGGCAGAGGTTTAAATGGATTCCCCCCGGCCACAAGCCAGAGTCTGCCTCTCCTGAGAGCTTCCTCCTGGCTGCACCGGGGCCCAGGAGAGTGAGGACGGGGCTGCGCTAAGGCTCAGTCTCCAAACGGATTTGTGTCTGCCTAATGGGCTGAGACAATGGAGTGGCGAAAATACGATAGAGAAGGATCAGAGGGACGGGGGGAGAGAGAGAGAGGCATGAGGAAAATGTAGAAATTGAGATAGTGAAGATGAGATGAGGTGGAAGAAATTCTACTTTGAGTGAAAGCGGGTAGGGGAGGAGAGACAGGCGTTAGTTTGGCTTGAGCCAGATCAGGTGGACTTCGGACGAGGGCTGCCTGTAGAGGTGATGGACAGATGAGGATAGAGAACAAGGGCCGAGACGACAGCGGAAGAGGAGACAGACACCGTTCAGACGGGGAGGAGAGAGAGGGAGGGTGAGGGCAGGAAAAATGTACCTGAAAGTGAGTGGGAGATGCAGAGAGAGAGATAAAGAAAGATGAGGAGGAAAACAAAGAGTAAGGAGAGAAAACTTTTCTTCCTTACGGACAGCAGAGATGGAGAAAAAGCGATAGAGAGTAATTGTGGAAGGGAGAATGAAAGCCCCGTTATAGAGCTTAAGAAGAATTGGGCTGCAGTGTGTGTATTTTTTTTATTGTGAGTGAGTGGCTCAAGGAAATGGACGGACAAAGATTGGGAAATAGGGATTGCAATATGAGGTGTTTATCTTAGGGCCTCACTCCATCACACACATAAATACACACACACACATGCCTGCACCGTCAAAACTGAAGGCCAAATGCTGCTATTACAGTTTGCAAGACAACCCCTCCTTTTTCATTACATATCCGAGAAAGGATGATAACAGGGAGCGACACAGAGGGTGGAGAATACAGCTTTTTGATTTTTAGTGCGGGCTGAAAAGGGAAAGAATTTGGAGGAACGGTACAAGATAATTCCATAAAGTGTACCCTCTGGAGTGGGCTACTGTAGTGCCGTGTGAAGAGTCAGGTTGAATCAGAATCAGAATAACATTTTTCTGCTCACATATGCATCTACAATGAGTGTTACTTTGTGTTTGTGGTGATGAAACACAAAGCTAAGCATGGCATTGTGCACCAATGGCAGATACAGTCCCCCATCCAGTCCAGCTTCATTGCATCATAACTGTGTCTCAATCAGCCTTACGACTCTGTGAGTCTTCTGACATCCGTAACAAGAACAAAACTGGTTTTTTTTTAGAACAATTCCTCTTGGGGTTGGAGCAAAACTGCAGCAGTAGCTCAACAGTAAAAAGTGGGACTACCACAGTTGGTTGCATCTGTACATGCAGCTTGCCAGTGGGAAGTGACTATGTTCTGTCTGTAGTTGCTGCCAGTGCAGAGAAAAAGTGAACTTGTGTATGAGCTTGAAAGTAAGAGAGTTAAATTGATGAAGGGATGGAGAAGAGGAAGCCAGGCGGCTCCAGTATTAACAAGGAATGAAGAGGAAGACGGAGGTGGATGGGAAAGGAGAGAGACGGATGGAGGCAAAGGGCATTCACATCTATATCAATGAATAAGATCAGTGAGGGAGGGTTGGGCAGTAAGTAAGAGGATGAGTGCACTGAGTGCACGGCCGCACGACTGAGAAACACAGGGATGGAGAGACGGAAAGGCAGAGTGACAGAGAGCGTGTGTTTGCAGGGAGTGTAGCAGCAGGTGTATCGCCATTTATCCAACGTAGCCAATGTTACATGAAAAAGAGAGGCTGCCTCTTTGCTCAGGAAGTCGCAGCCTAAATGGAGGAGGAATGAAGGAGGAGAGAAAGATGGATAGAGCGCAGCTGTACCCACATCTGTGAAAGACAAGGCAAGATAAAGGAGGAGGAGGAGACGGAGAGGGAAAGCATCCAAGAGTTTAAGGGTGTGTGTGTCCTTGTGCATGAGTGTGAGTGGATTTGTGTGTGTCATTACCTAGCCAACATGGCTGTAGTTGCCAGTCTTTTGTCTGTAGTGGTTTCCAGCACCACCCTGCTTGTCGTCCCCTTACAGTGTCTGTTGGACTGCAGTAATCAGTATGATCTAAAGCTTTGGCTAATGCTCATATTATCAAGACATAGTGAGCCATTTTCCTCAGCTTGTCTAGAAGGTATGGCTTTGTAGTGGTACAAATAGCTGTAGTTGTCGCTGATCACCCCAGGGCCACTACATAATACCAACAGCGAGCTAATCTGTAAGTGAGGCTGCTGGTGCTGTAGATTAGGAGAGAGATAGCATCCACTTGTGCACAGGATTTAAATGTAAGATAGTCAGCAATTAACGGAAAAAGAAGCAGCAGCCAACTCTTATGACCTGAGGGAAACTATAGTATAATATGAATAACATTTGCAAACATAAAAAACATATGCAGGCAGATACATAAAAACAGCACAAGCATGCACACGCCCACACACATGTGTTTTCATAAATGTATGCTAAGACATGTGTTACAAAGGCAATTAATGTATGAATATTAAATAGATAATGGAAGAAATGCTAAACTAGGTCCACCATGAGCTGCTGCTGCTTTTTCATCGTCACATACACACGACACAAACACAAATGGGGATGCATGCACTGCGAGGCACTTCCACACACACAAACAAAGCTGTTCCCTGCCATCTTTTGTGTAACTGGCAGCCTTCTCCAGGAACAAAACAGCAGGATGTGATCAATTAACTTTTGCCCAAATAATTCAGGCTTTTCATCGTTTCAAATGTGGTCGTTTTGCCTGTGGGTGTCCAAGCCTTTTGTAAGGAATGAGAGAGCGATTTTGCCATCCTTGTGTGTGTGTGTGTGTGTGTGTGTGTGTACGTGTGTGTTCTTCAGAGGAAGCGTGCTAGATGATAGTGTAGAATTGGTGTTGAACTGTGTCCAGTGATAATTGTTGTGGAGGATGTGTGCGTGTGTGTGTGTGAACCGTTTAATCACAGCGCAGGGGTGAATTCAGAGGTGCAATTAACGTCCGTTCCTCATTTTCCAAAGAAACATGTTCCCCATTTCCTCTGTATGTACTTTTACCCTAATTTTTGGTTACAAAGTAATCGACTTGTTTAGGCGTCATTTCCCGTTCGAGGCACACTCGCCACGTACTCTTGGGGTTTTAGACCAGTGGGTTGAACATAAATGTGCCTGCATTTATATTCCCAATTAATGTCCTACGATAGCACCTATTGTTGTAGTAATCACTGAGGTCCTGTACTCTATTAATGTAATGTGCTGTTCAGCTTGGCAGCACCGCATCCTTGCTAAAACATAGACGCAATTAGGAGCATTTGCAAACAATAAGAGAATTAAAAGCGAGTGTTCCTGTGCCCGATGTCTCTCTCAGTGT